CTAGAGTCAACTGATGTGCTGGAGGGAGGTATACATCATAAGGTCAGTCGACTGACCCTTTGGAGGGGTGACTGGACTTTTAAGTTCAGTCGACTGACATGCAGTGATCCAGTGGTAGTTCTGTAATTAAAGGGTTAGTCGACTGACATGCAGTGATCCAGTGGTAGTTCTGTAATTAAAGGGTTTGACGGGATTTACAGTTTTTCAAGCCCAGTTTGGTCCTTTCACTCCCGGTTCACTCGGTCAAAACCCTAGTTGGTCAATTGACTTTGACCAAAGGATTTTTTAGGGTTTTGACTATAAAAGCAACATAACAAGATGATTTCTCTAAGGATTTTGTGCATTTCATCAAAAGCTTTCAAGAGACAAAAACCTAACTTTGTGAGAGACGCTTCGAGAGAGAAATCACCATCTTCCTTCCATTCACTCATTTCAATTCTTCAATCCTAGTGAGTTTGAGTGAATTTATGTTTATGGCTATTTGATATAAACCCATTGAGTGCTTAATCTTTCTTTCTCTACCATTCTCATTGAGTGAGACTTTCAAGAGAGAAAATACCGAAGGTGATTTCTTTGAATTGTTTCGTTCTTGTTGAAGACAAGAAAGGTGAAACCCTTGAGAAGGAATTCAAGGTGAGGAGTTTTGTGATAAGCTCCTTTCAAACCCTAGTGGATTCTAGGTTAGGGATTTTAGGGTAAAATCTCTACAACTTTCAAGTTAGATTAAATCAACACTAATGGGAGTAGTGTAGAGTTGTTGGATGTGTTCCTTGGCTTTGGATTTATCTTAATAGCAAGAAGAGACTTGAAGAGTGGACGTAGGAAATCTTGTGCCGAACCACTATACATCTTGTGTCCTTGGTTTGCCTTCTTGTTCTTATTTTATTTCTATATGCTTGGTAGTTGTAGTTATAGATTAATATCATCAACTTACATCTCTAGTTAGTAGTCCTTGAACCGGAAGGTGGGAGTGCCTCTTTCTCTCCCACCTCGAGAAGTTCTTGGCTACTTGTGAAAGTATTGGTGTTTATTAGTCTTAGAATTGTGGTTTCTACAAACCCATATTCATAAAGACAATAACCCAAGGACTAGAGCTAGTTAGTTGTGATTGAATCTTTACTACACACTTTGATCATTTCATCTTTACATTTTCTTATATTGTTATCTTGCTTGTTAGTTGGTTGTGACTTGATAGATTTACTTAGTGTAATCCTTTTATTCCGCACTTAGTTTTTCCTAAACATATCTGTTAATGTCAGTTTACTCTGAGTAAGTGACAGTTTGCCTTTGTGTTGTCTCTTGGGGGTGATCTTTGTTAAGCATTTTTTAAATAGACTATTCACCCCCCCTCTAGTGTATTGGACACCATTATGTAAGGAATATCAGAATTCATTCCAAGTCTTCAAAGATGAAATCAATCTACCGACGTGACCCCATCCGAAAATCTGATATCCTCAAATTTGGATTTCATGTCTCTTATTTCACACATTTTGGTTTAAGGTATAAACCATTGTTTTTTTTTTACAAGCCTTATTTTTTGTAACTGTTTCAGTACTTATCTCTTCATTTTTTGTGAAATCGTTCACATATTTACAATTACTGTGTTTGTTTGCAATTGTTTTTCTAATATAGTCTTCCTTGAGCATTTACGAAAGAATATACCTTAGGTGGCTGTTATTTATACATGTACTCATTTTAATCAAAAAAATATTATCATCAAAACTATCAACTGAGTATCAACAGCATGATTTTAATCCAATGAACATGAGATTAACTGACTATCTTCGAGGTTCAATGGACCTGAGTATCAATTGCATGGTTTTGCTTCAATGAACGAGTTTAAACGACTATCTTCAAGGTTCAATGGACTATGGCGCACTAGAAAGAGGTTTTGGTTTGTCGCGTTCAATGGACTATGGCGCACATGAGTTTGAAGTAGTTGTAATCAAACTCAACAATTTTTGTGGCTCTCAATCTCTGTTCAATTCTCTCGCTCCCTTTTTCTTTGTTTTTTTTTTCCACCAGAGAGAAACCCCCAATTAATTTTGGGCAATGAATATATGCCACATTTAATTGCACCAATCTTTTGTTGAATTAACAAATTTTTGGCACGGTTTGGTGGAGAATCACACTTAATATGATCGCTTATTTTGTCGTAGATTTCTTAATGGTAATTTGTAAGTTTCTCTTATCATCTCTTCCTATCTGATTCTATCTATACTAATTTCGCTCTTTTTACTCAATTTTTATTTTACTATATTTTTTGTGTTAGATTTTTGTTAGATTTTCGTTCTTTCTTCAATCTCTTTGGCTCTGTTAGGTGCTTCACCTTTTCCAATTCCTAAAGAGTGAATATCACATAACTGTGCCAAAATTTAGACAGCCTCAAAATTTTCAATGCCGATACTAGAGATAGTTCCAAAGGTTTATTCAAAAGATCATGAAAGGTCACTGACTATGTCATGTTCTATGTCGAATTAAGTGTCATATTCTCAAATTTATTATAGCTCATTAGACAACCTGTATTCGTAATTTTTAAATTTGTTTTCATTATTTACAATGCAAGGTAAAAAAGAAAGTTCTAATATTGAATCACATAATCCAGTACTTCGTCAACATTTTGTGGCCCTGTCTCCTTCTGCTGAAGATTTAGCATCGCAGCCAACACCAACCATCTTTGAGGTATAAATGGTTTAAAAGTTTAATTTCATAATTGTATTCAGAGGTATAATTTGTGACACCTGAAAATTCATCAAACTATCTAGAAGATTCCATCTCATACACAACTACGACATTCAAATTCGAGAAATATAGTAAAAATAACTTCAATGTTCAGAGGACATTGCTTAAAGAAACTCTTTTAAGTTTTAGGGGAAAAAGCTGTATATTACTCTAATTGATTAATATGATCAAGAGAAAATAATGTATTTGATAAATCTAATGCCAAAAAGCCCTCAATAACATTTGTTAGGAGTTTGAAGAGTAATGTTTGATGTTGAATAACAACACATAGTGTCAGTTTTTACAAGGAAGCTTGAGCTACCTGGTCCTTGCTTTTATTCTGATAAAACATACTTATGCAGTGTTGTGACAAATGTGTCCATATTTTTGAGTAGTTTCACATGGAAAAAAGGTAACACACCTTGATTCGTACGCAAATATGTTGTACAATAGAATTACCTTATTTTTTTTAATAATTTCATTCAATATGATAATTTTGGTACAGTTCATCATCGTGAATCATTTCATCTCTATTACCAAATTATTGTTGGTAGAATTTTGGGTAAGTTCATTTGTGTGTATAAAGTGTAGACATTTATGTGTGTATAAAGCAACACACCTTTCAGTATAACCAAGAGCTTATGACAATGGTAAGATATAAGCCCTTAGTGATGCTTCATTTTGCTTTGGTTTTAACATAATTACAACTCACTTTCATAACACTAAGGTACTATAATAAATCTAAACTGTAATTTGTTGAACTTGTTGTTAGCAAAATTCACTTTCTAGGTATTGCTTTTTGTTTTAGTTGTGGTTGAATTTATATTTGTTACAATATAATTTAACAATCATCTGTTTTTCCTTCTCCAGCAATCATTTCTCTTATCTCAATAAACTCCGCAATCTCTCTTTGAAGCACGACCTCCCCAAGACAGTTAGCAACTATCTCTTTTTCCTTCACAAAGGTAAGTTATTTTTTTTTTCTTTATTTGATTATTGATTCCATGTTCTTATTTTTATTGATTGGGCTAAGATTATAGTGTCTTCTTCTCCATGCGTTTTATATTCGATGTTATTTTATTCTATTATTGCATCTCCATATGTCTTGCTAGAAGTCCAGAAGCATAGTGTTAATCTGACGAAGTAGGATATAGAGAAATTTTGTTAGAAAAAGTAGAACACATAAAGAAACTTAAGTTGATAGTGTATGTACTGTCCATCCCAACCCGCATGTGGAACACGACACATTGGTTTGAAACATGTGTCTGAGCCGTATCCAAGCGGTGTCCAATCTGACTAACACTGCCACATCTGATTCTTTATTATTGTTCGTGCCACCTAGATTAGATTTTCTTTAGATAATTCCTATTTAGAAGCATAACTCCTATTTAGAGCCTTCATTAGATTTTCTTATGATTAATTTATTGAAATTCTATATAGTTAAGGTTGTTTAATTTACTTGCCTGAAAGAACCAGTTTTTTTGTTGGGATACTTCTCAACTTTGGATAATCTACCACATCCTTAAAATTTTCGTTAATCGATGATCTATTAGAATGTAGTTTTAGAATGTTTCAAATATTTCTTCTAGAGGGAAGACAGTACTAACCGAAGAATGTAAGACAAACAACACTAACTGAAAGTATATCTTGGAATTGACCCATTTTTTTACTTTTTAAACATTTAATTTTGTTTGAATCTTTTATTCTTTCCCTTTCCATATTTTTGGTAGACTATACGTATTTTATTCTCTTATTCTTTTCCTTTCCAAATAACGAATACCCAAATAAAACTAAACAAGGTGAGTGGAATTCAATACTCACGACAAACTTATGCATAAGTCCAAACTGTAATTATGTAAATCATATGTGCTTCATTTTGATATGGTTACTAAATTTGTTGTTAATACAATCCAATGTTTGCAAATTAGTACTGAGTGAAGATAATTTGCATTTGTTATTTTTAGGACAATGATCAATTGTTGGATTGAGAGCCTTCGATTCATTGAGTCTCTTAAAACCTTCAATTTAGAAAATCTGAATAACTTATTATGTATAAAAGGTATGCAAACAAATCTTGATATATCTTTTCTTAATGGTTTCTTACTTTTCGTTTAGAAAGTAGAAACTATATATGTGCAAATGTACACTTTGCCCTACAAGACATGTCCTAAAGGCAACCTTGGAAGTATTTATATTGTATTTGCCACACTATGATTGCTAGCAGACATTAGTTTTAGTGTTCCATTATTTGTTAATTATTCATTGAAGATTTCATTGAAGGCCCATTGGCTCAGTTGGCTAGAGTGTCATGTTAATTATGCGAAGGCGCAATTTCGAGACCTGCATGGGCCACGCATAACTGTTTTCATTGGTGCGGTTGCACGTTTTACTATAACAAATATTTTTGAGTTTTTACAATGAACAAAGTTAGAGGAAACAAAGTTCGATTAATGGTTTACTGATTTTCTTGAAATTCACTGCAATCAAGTTAATCCACATCTTTTTAAACATACAACTAGCATGACTACAACAATACAGTATAAACAATTGTTTACAGGTACTATTTTTTTTTCCTTACTCAGGTAAGCTACACTTTTTTTATCCCTTTTCTTTGCACTTTTACACTTCATCAATTTGTCAAAACTGAATTAGTGATAGTACAATGATGATACAACAATTAAAAAGTGGAACATAATATCTCTGTGATTGCTAATTTACATCATATTTTA